AGATCACATCAGCTCAATGAAGTTGTCTGGGTGTCAGGTCCCTCTAGTTTTAACCCTGCAGCTGAAAACATAGCAGTTTCAGAGAAACTGCTATGTTTCACTGAGGGTTAATCCAGCCTCTAGTGGCTGTCTCACTGACAGCCGCTAGAGGAGCACACTGAACGTCCATAGGAAAGCATTGAGTAATGCTTTCCTATGGGCGGTTTGAATGCGTGCGCGGTCGCATTCGGAGCTGAGAGGCTGAGGGATCCTCAGCGCCAAGGGAGTCCGGCGCTGGAGAAAGGTAAGTGCTGAAGACACACACCACACAGACTTACAGATGCATACACACTAGCTAACAGACACACACATTTACTGACAGAGACACAGTCAGCGACAGACATACATACACACTCACTTACAAAATATACACTCTCATTGACAAACACACACTCACTAACAGACATCAAACAGACTCACTAACACACACACTCAGTAAGACACACACAGTAACACACTCACTGACACTCACACTAACACCCACTAGCAGACACACACACTAACACTCACTCTAACACTCACACACACTAACACTCACTAGCAGACACACACACTAACACTGACACACACACTAACACTCACACACACTAACACTCACTAGCAGACACACACACTAACACTGACAGACACACTAACACTGACACACACTAACACTGACACACTAACACTCACACTAACACTCACTAGCAGACACACACACTAACACTGACACACACACTAACACTCACACACTAACAATCACACTAACACTCACTAGCAGACACACACACTAACACTCACACTAACACTCACTAGCAGACACACACACTAACACTGACACACACACTAACACTCACACACTCTAACACTCACACACTAACACTCACTAGCAGACACACACTAACACTGACACACACACTAACACTCACACACTAACTAGCAGACACACACACTAACACTAACACACACACTAACACACACACTAACATTAACACTAGTTTTTTTTTTTTTAATGTAATCCCCCCAGCCTCCTTACCTTTTGGAGTGCTGGGGGGATTCCCTGGGGTCCAGTGGTGCTGCTGACACCCGGATGGCAGGTGGCCGGTCGGGCAGACAGGCGGGCGCGCGAGGGAGCACTCAGTGCTTCCTCTTCAGCTCCCTCGCGCGCCGCGTAGGGATGCCGGCGCCGGAAGATGACGTCATCTTCCGGCTCCGGTATCATTGCGGTGCGCGAGGGAGCTGAAGAGGAAGCACTGAGTGCTCCCTCGCGCGCCCGCCTGTCAGCCCGACCGGCCACCTGCCATCCGGGTGTCAGCAGGGCCAGCCTCGGGGGGCCCTGGGGTGGTCGGCTCCTGGGCCCCCCAGGGGAAGAGGCTGGCCCAATGGCGTACATACCGGGTCGCAGGGGCGGCCGGGCCCCCTGGTGGGCCGGGCCTGGTCGCAGCCGCGACCCCTGCGACCCTGGTATGTACGCCACTGTGCCCTGTACAAAAACAAATCATGCCTAAACCCCACAGTAAGGAAACAGATTGTACAGCAAATGCTATTGCCAGTCATTGCTTATGGGGATGTAGTGTATGTATCTGCTCCACAAACCCACCTTCATAAACTTATCATATTGTATTCTTATTCTACTACTTTGTGCTACAATGTAATTACATGACCCACCATTGTAACATGTCAAAAAAGCTGAACTGCTGGATTCCAGGCGCACCCTTCATCTTTATTGCCTTGTGTTTAAGAGCTTTTCTGGGACGTTCCCACCCTACCTGAGTAGAATGCTGTCTCCAGTTGTTTCCATCTATTATAACCTCCGATCCAGTACAAGTACTTTATTTAGTCTACCTCAATACAAAAATGAAGTGGTTTGATGCTCATTTTTCTACAGAGTATTGCCATTATGGAATAACCTCACGGACACAATCAAATCTTCCTCCAGTCTAAGATCTCTGTTAACATGTCTCAATACAGAATGCACCTGTAATCATGGTTGATTATATTTCTTACTTGTTCTGTGTTAAATTTGTATATGTGTATTTTCATATTATTTTATATTTGTAATATTATATTGTACTATATGGTAACAATGGAAGGTTTGTCAGCCTAGATACTTGAAAATGAGAGAAATCTCAATGTAACCTTCCTGGTAAAATATGTTTTAAATGAATTATTTACTTTCAAAGTAAATTTTGAATATAACATAAGAAAAGGAAAATTTTCAGCTACTTAAATTTGAAATTTTCTTTGAATTCTCATTTGAATAATTAACCCTACTTGTCTCTCCTATGTTCTGTATATAAGATATACCAGAGAAGAAAAAAACATTGCATGTGGAACACCATGCTGTGTGTACACTTATAGATAAAACTAATGTATTGAACATAAATTGCTAGGTAATCAGTGACTGATATTCTCCATGGCAGTACAGCTGAACATACGCAGCCAAGCTGAAGGAGGCAGGGCCAGTGCTAGACTATTTTGCTTCCTAGACAAGACCAGACACTTGCATCCTCCTTGTGTGTCTCTTTGTCCCCCCAGCCCTCCTGTGTTTCTTTGTCCCCCTCAGCCCCTCTGTGTGTCTTTTTGTCCCCAAGCCCATTTGTGTGTCTCTTTGTCTCCCCTCAGCCCCCTGTGTGTCTATTTGTCCTCCAGCCCCTCTGTGTGTCTTAATGTTCTACTAACCTCTCTGTCTCTTTGCATCTCACAACCCTTCTGTGTGTCTATTTGATCCCTTGTAGCCCCTGTGTATCTCTTTGCCCTTCCCAGGCCCTTCTGTGTGCCTCTTTGCAGTCCATTTGTGATGTCTTTCCCCTTCTGCAGTGCCAGCTTACCTTCTTGTAGCGTGGCCCAGCGAACCCCAGTCTGACATGAATCTCTTCGATGCTCTCAGTGAGCACTTCCTGTCCATGTAGAAAAGCCCCTCTATCTACGGCCCACTTTGCCACACTACATGCAGTGACCCGGGAGCTGTGCCCCCTCCAAAACAGTCTTATTCACCTAGCGGTCGCGCATGCCATGGATAAAGGATTCAAGCCCTCAAATTCTACCTCTACCATCCTGAAATTGGGTACCATGTTTACAAAACAAGCCTAATTAAATGATAGATTGAAAGCTTATTTGAGCATGGCCCAATCACTGGCAATGAAGAAACCAGTGGTGGAACTACTGCGGCTGGGGGATGGACTTATAGGAGGCGGGGAAGTAGACGTAAGGGGGATGACGGGTAGACGTATGGGGGAGCCCCAGGGCAATTTTTGCACCGGGGCAAGTGGTTTGTAGTTACGCCTCTGTAAAAAACGTTTGTATAAAATGGGGAAGCTTAATTAAGAGGGTTAAGTTACAGACCTATGCTTATTCAATGTATGATCAAATACTGTAACTAACCCCCATAATTTTTGTCTAGGTTAGGTGATTTTGAAATATAAAAATGCTGTCTGGTGAGTTAGTGACTGGGTTCTTGTATGTTGTATGAATAGGCACCAGCAGCACCCTTGCATGTTCAGGTGAGCGCAGTCCTCTTGGTTTCATACATTGCGCTGGTGTGTGACACCCTATTTTCTTTCAAGCCTTCTTGATCATCAGACAGTACAGCGCATCACCCGGGGACGAGAGGACTGAGGGAAAGTGTACCGCAAGCAGTGCTCTTAAATTCATAGCATTTTAGGCATCTACATAAGTGCATTGCAGATATATCCAACCAATATTAGACCTGCCAGTTATGATGTCTAAGGGTATGATGCAGAAAATTACACATTTTTTTCCTCTTATAACAAAACAATAAGGAATTGGGCGGAAAGTAAGAAACAGAAAAGAAAACCTGCCAAATATGCTAACGTAGTCCCTTTAAGTAAGTTCACATTGGTTGGACAGTACTCATCAAATTCCTTAGGCCACAGGTAATTGCTGTCAAAACCCAAATGCTGTAACATTGCCTTCATTGTTGCAACGGAAATCCCTTTAATATTGGTAAGAATATTTCCAATATATCCAAAATATCCATTTTACTAAATTTATTTTGGCATAGATTACAATGCCATGTACAATGTACATGTGTGGTTCCTTTTCCTATTTTTGTAATGTACATAATTTGGATCCATATCAAGAAACATATTATTTAGGATGATAAAAAATTTCAGATTTTTGTCAATTTATGAATGAAGTGGGGGGCGGGGCCTGACCGCTGAACTGTGAGGAAGCATGTCTCAGCAGCTCCTGCAACTCAGGGCAACCAAAGCGGGTTTAAGACCCCAAAAAGGCACTAAATTGATTCCTTACGGCCACCAAGCGACAGGCGACTATGGGGCGCACAAACAGACACCACACAAGCGACGATGCCCCTCAGGCGCACCCAGACTCAAGACGGGGCCTACCAGCAGGGAGGGCGCGGGGAAGACGGCCGCTTTCCCGCTGCCTGTACCAGCCAGGTACTGGCCTCCGAGCCCTCGTTCCCCCCCCCTGGACCGGCGGGGGTCATCCCGGTCCACCCCCTCACGATCCCCTTGAAAGGAGATGAGCGGACGAAACAACCGCGCGGTGTGGAAACTGCAGACAAGGCCGACAAAATGGCGGACGGCAACCACGCCTCGGCCCTCCACAAGGCCGGACGAGACACGGAGCTCCGGCTCACCCGCATATTCGACTCCTTCTGGGAGCAGCTGGAGAAACTCGCGTGGCCCTCGGAGCAGGAGGTCCAGCTGGATGGCAAGACACAAGAACCAGCACGAGGGACCCGGATGGGAGTACCGGCATACACCGCCGGCTCCGTACCCGGTCCCCACAAGCTCCCGAGAAAGACCGCCCTGCTAGCGGAGACCCGAAGCCTCACTAAGGGCAACCACAGCCGGACCCAGGTAAAACATACTGGGGGCGCTGCAGGACGAAGGCGGCGCGGAAGTCAAACTCACCGTCCGGCCGTGAAACAGCCTAGGAGAGGTACGAACCATCCCACTCACATCAACAAACGGCAGACCACAAAGTACACCATGGGGGCCGCAATAGCACAACGCCACAAGCACAGACTCAGCCTACAGACACACAGTCGGGCAGGGCCCTCTATCAGAGCCACATCATACCTACCACACCAGATGCCGGCCTACACTCAGACACTCCACCCTCGCATCACCGGACTGGGAGAACCGCAGCTCACATTACAGCAGCAGCAGATGGCACAAGGGGAGCCTCTACAAGGCATCGGATGAACCACACAGCACTGGGACTCATTGCCTAGCAAAGGACTCATCACCTCTTTTAATTTTACTTATTTTTTCTATTATTTTTCTTTTTCTTTATTTTTTCACCAATTTTTCATAACTCAGATGAACTCCCACAACTGTCTGTATGTAACCGAGCCCTGCACATCCCTTCCAACAACTCACATAGGGGACCATAGAGAGGGAATTCCTCGAGACCAAGCGACTACATATTAAGCATGAAGGCGCATAGACTAACTCAAACCCACGCAGGTTTCCTTGATTGCTCACCACACAACTGTTTGCATTAGCATGTGGAATGTGTAACGATGACACCTTATGCTATAGGCAAGCTCTAGCATTGTTAATTGTTAAGCGTTTTCTTTCGTTCTTTAAAATTTTTATTTCATGCAACACAGCATATATAAGAGTAGCGCAACCTGTATATACAACACATATGGTCCAGATATCATTATATTGCAAACCATATCACGACACTACAACTACACTAGCAAAGATGAACGAGCTATGTTAAACGTGGACCACCCTATCTTATGCTATCGTTCTCGCTGTTTGGCTTAAAATTGTTTTACTTATATAAAAATGTGCAATCTCTCATGCCACTGTCAAACCTAAACGCATCTTCAAACACGCTGTTGTGGCGTATGTCGATAACCTGTAACTCTCTGCACAACAAAAATAAAGAATTCAAAAAAAAAAAAAAATTTATGAATGAAGTAAATAAGTGTAACCACCACAGTTTGCATTAGAAATGAGCAGAATTGCCATAATCGCTGCCTTGATTGCATTTTCAGTCATATTGCTGCAGCTTCTGCCTTGTACAGACAGTGTCCCATTACAGATGACCTGACAGGGAATATTTGCAGATTGACCTGTTTCAATATTGCACTGTGCCGCTTTCAGTTTCTGTTCATGGTGTACACAGGTTATCAGTGTGTGGTTATGGTGTACACAGTATGTCACTTTTTGCTTAAAGTGTAAATAGTCTATCAGTGGTTATGGTGTACACAGTATGTCAGTATGTGATTATAGTGTACACAGGCTGTGCTGCTGTCAGTGGTTATGGTGTACACAGACTGTCCTTGCTGTCAGTGGTTATAGTGTACATAGGCTGGGTTGCTGTCAGTGATTATGGTGTACACAGTATGTCAGTATGTGATTATAGTATACGCAGGCTGTACTGCTGTCAGTGGTTATGGTGTACACAGACTGTCCTTGCTGTCAGTGGTTATGATGTACACAGGCTGTGCTGTTGTCAATGGGTATGGTGTACACAGTATGTCAGTATGTGGTTATGGTGTACACAGGCTGTGTTGCTGTCAGTGGGTACTGTGTACACAGTATGTGGTTATGGTGTACACATGCTGTGTTGCTGTCAGTGGTTATGGTGTACACAGGCCGTGCTGCTGTCAGTGGTTATGGTGTACACAGTCTGTCAATATGTGGTTATGGTGTACACAGGCTGTGCTGCTGTCAGTGGTTATGGTGTACACAGGCCATGCTGCTGTCAGTGGTCATGGTGTACACAGGCTGTGTTGCTGTCAGTGGGTACTGTGTACACAGTATGTGGTTATGGTGTACACATGCTGTGTTGCTGTCAGTGGTTATGGTGTACACAGGCCGTGCTGCTGTCAGTGGTTATGGTGTACACAGTCTGTCAATATGTGGTTATGGTGTACACAGGCTGTGCTGCTGTCAGTGGTTATGGTGTACACAGGCCATGCTGCTGTCAGTGGTCATGGTCTACACAGGCTGTGTTGCTGTCAGTGGGTACTGTGTACACAGTATGTGGTTATGGTGTACACATGCTGTGTTGCTGTCAGTGGTTATGGTGTATACAGGCCGTGCTGCTGTCAGTGGTTATGGTGTACACAGTATGTCAATATGTGGTTATGGTGCACACAGGCTGTGCTGCTGTCAGTGGTTATGGTGTACACAGGCTGTGTTTCTGTCAGTGGTTATGGTGTACACAAGCTCTCCTTGCGGACAGTGGTTATGGTGTACACAGGCTGTCCTTGCTGTCAGTGGTTATGGTGTGCACAGGCTGTGCTGCTGTCAGTGGTTATGGTGTATACAGGCCGTGCTGCTGTCAGTGGTTATGGTGTACACAGTATGTCAATATGTGGTTATGGTGCACACAGGCTGTGCTGCTGTCAGTGGTTATGGTGTACACAGGCTGTGTTTCTGTCAGTGGTTATGGTGTACACAAGCTCTCCTTGCGGACAGTGGTTATGGTTTACACAGGCTGTCCTTGCTGTCAGTGGTTATGGTGTACACAGTATGTCAGTATGCAGTTATGGTGTTCGCAGGCTGTGTTGCTGTCAGTGGTTGTGGTGTTCACAGGCCGTGTTCCTGTCAGTGATTATGGTGTGCACAGGCCGTGTTGCTGTCAGTGGTTATGGTGTGCACAGGCTGTGTTGGTGTCAGTGGTTATGGTGTACGCAGGCGTGGTGCTGTCAGTGGTTATGGTGTGCACAGGCCGTGTTGCTGTCAGTGGTTTTGGTGTGCACAGGCTGTGTTGGTGTCAGTGGTTATGGTGACCACAGGCTGTGTTTCTGTCAGTGGTTATGGTGTACACAAGCTCTCCTTGCGGACAGTGGTTATGGTGTACACAGGCTGTCCTTGCGGTCAGTGGTTATGGTGTGCACAGGCTGTGCTGCTGTCAGTGGTTATGGTGTACACATGCTGTGTTGTTGTCAGTGGTTATGGTGTATACAGGCTGTGTTGGTGTCAGTGGTTATGGTGACCACAGGCTGTGTTTCTGTCAGTGGTTATGGTGTACACAAGCTCTCCTTGCGGACAGTGGTTATGGTGTACACAGGCTGTCCTTGCTGTCAGTGGTTATGGTGTGCACAGGCTGTGCTGCTGTCAGTGGTTATGGTGTACACAGTATGTCAATATGTGGTTATGGTGCACACAGGCTGTGCTGCTGTCAGTGGTTATGGTGTACACAGGCTGTGTTGGTGTCAGTGGTTATGGTGAGCACAGGCTGTGTTGCTGTCAGTGGTTATGGTGTGCACAGGCTGTGTTGCTGTCAGTGGTTATGGTGAGCACAGGCTGTGTTGCTGTCAGTGGTTATGGTGTGCACAGGCCGTGTTGCTGTCAGTGGTTATGGTGTGCACAGGCTGTGTTGCTGTCAGTGGTTATGGTGTACACAAGCTCTCCTTGTGGACAGTGGTTATGGTGTGCAAAGGCTGTGCTGCTGTCAGTGGTTATGGTTTACACAGGCTGTCCTTGCTGTCAGTGGTTATGGTGTACACAGTATGTCAGTATGCAGTTATGTTGTTCGCAGGCTGTGTTGCTGTCAGTGGTTATGGTGTTCACAGGCCGTGTTCCTGTCAGTGATTATGGTGTGCACAGGCTGTGTTGCTGTCAGTGGTTATGGTGTGCACAGGCTGTGTTGGTGTCAGTGGTTATGGTGTATACAGACTGTCCTTGCTGTCAGTGGTTATGATGTGCACAGGCCGTGTTGCGGTCAGTGGTTATGGTGTATACAGACTGTCCTTGCTGTCAGTGGTTATGGTGAGCACAGGCCGTGTTGCTGTCAGTGGTTATGGTGTGCACAGGCCATGTTGCTGTCAGTGGTTATGGTGTATACAGACTGTCCTTGCTGTCAGTGGTTATGGTGAGCACAGGCCGTGTTGCTGTCAGTGGTTATGGTGTGCACAGGCTGTGTTGCTGTCAGTGGTTATGGTGTATACAGACTGTCCTTGCTGTCAGTGGTTATGGTGTGCACAGGCCGTGTTGCTGTCAGTGGTTATGGTGTGCGCAGGCTGTGTTGCTGTCAGTCTGTCAGTGGTTATGGTGTGCACAGGCTGTGTTGCTGTCAGTGGTTATGGTGTGTTGCTGTCAGTGGTTATGGTGAGCACAGGCCGTGTTGCTGTCAGTGGTTATGGTGTGCACAGGCTGTGTTGCTGTCAGTGGTTATGGTGAGCACAGGCTGTGTTGCTGTCAGTGGTTATGGTGTGCACAGGCTGTGTTGCTGTCAGTGGTTATGGTGAGCACAGGCCGTGTTGCTGTCAGTGGTTATGGTGTGCACAGGCCGTGTTGCTGTCAGTGGTTATGGTGAGCACAGGCCGTGTTGCTGTCAGTGGTTATGGTGTGCACAGGCTGTGTTGCTGTCAGTGGTTATGGTGTATACAGACTGTCCTTGCTGTCAGTGGTTATGGTGTGCACAGGCCGTGTTGCTGTCAGTGGTTATGGTGTGCGCAGGCTGTGTTGCTGTCAGTCTGTCAGTGGTTATGGTGTGCACAGGCTGTGTTGCTGTCAGTGGTTATGGTGTGTTGCTGTCAGTGGTTATGGTGTATACAGACTGTCCTTGCTGTCAGTGGTTATGGTGTGCACAGGCTGTGTTGCTGTCAGTGGTTATGGTGTGCACAGGCCGTGTTGCTGTCAGTGGTTATGGTGTGCACAGACACGTGGCTCTGATGATACACAAAGCCCACGCTGTAGGCCCGAGCTCAGAGCTGGCGGATTAAATGCCCGGACACACCCCCATTTAAAGCCACATGACCCAGCCCTAGGCCCGCAGTCCCCGCCCCGCCGGACACACGCTGCCCGCTCCGATTGGTCCCCGGCGGCGGACAGTGGACGCGGTGTCGCACACATAGACTGTAACGCAGGCGGCTGGCCACGGGGGGCCCGGGGAGCGCGCGGTGGGCGGGAGATGGCCACACTCGGCCTCTCCGTGGCGTGACGTCACAATGCAGGCCCGAGTCGAGCCCGTCCTAGCAGCGGACCAATCTGAGCGCAGCCTGGGAGCCGAGCCCCCCCAGGGGGACCAATGGGAGCCTCCCCTAGTCATGTGAGTGCTGGCTGCCAGCATGGAAGGCAGGAGCTGCCGCAGCGCCATGCGGGCCCGGGGGAGCACGGGGGTGGGATCCCACTGACCCTCCAGGTGAGGAGCGGGGGCACGGCAGCACTGCATGCTGGGAGCGGGGGAAAGTTATCAGTGGGGGAAAGTTACTTAGTGACACATGGGTGTGTTTACATGGAGCTCTGGGGTTATGAGCACTGAGTGCACTTACCGTGCTGGGTGAGGGCGACACACTGTGTATAATATCAGTATATTGGGATGGCCAGGGCTGTATTATACTTTCATGTTCATGTAATATGCTGACTGCATTCTGTGTCAGAATCCCCTTTATAAACTATTCTCCTGTCATGTCGTGTGTGGCAGAGCTGGTCAGTGACCTGTCAGGGGGTGACAGTCCTCTCACCTTGCTCTCATTATGCTGTTCAGAAGGGTCATTGCAGAACATACCTAGAGCAAGTGGGAGTCCCTGACTAGTTGGGAGAAGGAGATATTTGGTGTGGAAGAGTCCAGTTTACAGTCAGTGAGTCTGAACATTATATATATATATATATATATATATATATATATAACATACACAATCCAGCGCACTTGCTCATTCACTAAACAGCGATTTCAAGTTTCACAGATTGTAATAGTTTTATTTAAAAACACCTCACCAAAAAATAATGGGGGTTTAGTTACATTATATGATCATATATTGCATAAGCCTGCCACAAAGTCCATGTACCCCATTCTTGGCAGGTCCTACTCTAGCAGCCTAATGCTTGCTCTTCTGAGATTAATTCACTTATTTGGGAACTTCTTCCTTACTGGGACTCTCTGCCCCATTTTTCATGTGATGCATTAGTTTAGGGGGGATCTCTCTATTTTGAGTCTTTTGTTTCTTCTATACCAGCCAACTGGGGTGTGGGTGTGGGGGGGGGGAGGTGTGTGTGTGTGTGTGTGTGTATATATATATATATATATATATGTATATGTGTGTGTGTATATGTGTATATATATATATATATATGTGTGTGTGTATATATATGTATGTATGTGTGATCTCTGTGGGAAAACCAAGGCTTGACTAATGTGCAGATTTTTGTTTAACATTGTTTTATTTATATATATATATATATATAATGATCAATTCAGTGTGTGAGTTTTTAGATTAATGTAAAGGAGCAGAAATATGCAACATTTTCTCTTTGCTGGTTGTGAGTCTAATCATTTTACACCCATAAAAGCAGTATCTATTTTGACCTGTTTTTGTCCAGGGTCAGCTGACCTATCTACTCCGCCATTGAATGCTACTTCATTAGCAATCCAGTGGTCAGGGGGACGGGTACCCCAGGGACCCGCTATTTTGATCAAACTGTGATAGCACCCACAGCATAAAAGAGCAATCCAAATTCCATAATCACTTCACCTTGCTGCAGTGGTTATTGTTCCAAGAGTGCCTTGCCTGAGTAGGCAAACCGTTTTCATTCTTACCTGAGGTTGGGTTCTTTTCACTTTCCTGAGCTAAACTCTGCCATGTTGAGTCAGCTCATTGGTTAAAAGCATCAGTTGTTCACTGAGCTAAGCCCTGGCACCTGGCAAACCCAAGGTAAGTTGTCAAACCTATAGCAAATGGCTTGTCTGCTTGTGGAGAGGAGGGGGTACTTTTTGTACATTAACACAACAGCATGCTGTAGTAGTTATGGTGCTTTGAGTGTTCCTTTAATAGTAATATAACAAAAAGTGAAAATAATGATACTATATGTTAAATAGTTTCAGCACATTAGGAGTGACCTTTACTGTAAGCATGCCATAGGGACTAATATATATGATACCCGGTGAAATTAGTACTTTCAAACACACATTCTCTGGCAGTATTGTTTGCGATGGCAGGGTCTGCATTAATGCCACCAGCCCTGATTGCCTTACTTTTACTCTTGCACTGATATGGCTTTCTAATAAGTAATATATTTTACACCCTGAAACAAATAAAAATGTTCCTTATAAAACCTGAATTGCGTACTTTTGTGAGCTAAATTGCAATGTTTTCATTCTAAATGTCTCCTGTGTGAAAGCTATGCGCTTTTTTATTTTTTTTTATTTTTATTTTTTTTAAACCTTCCGTATTATGCAGCATTAGTCAATTGGGCTAAATTCACACGATCGCTAGCTGGGTATCAGTTGACATAGCCCCCCGTGTGTAGCCGAATGATGAAAGCTGCAGTTAGCAGCTGGAGACTATGAATGAGAGTGTATAGAAGAACTGATCACATGGCTGTGCCAAATTTAGCGCAAGCAGTATCTGAAGCATATGTCTACAGGCCCATTAAGGAATTGGCAAATGCATGCAACCAGAGCTGGATTTATATGGATGTACTGTATACATGTATATAATTCCCCCTCCTTCACTACCGTAGAGGGAATTTAGTCACTTAACAAGTAACAAGTAACTAGTAAATTGAGACACAAACTGCAAAGACTTTGCTTACAATACCCTAATTGAGGCTTTAGCTGAATTGGGGAACATTTCCAAATCTGCTACTTTAACCCGCAACTGTGTCTTTAATTCACTACACTTCAGTGTTTAGGGAACAAATACCTAGGCTGCTGCATTCAATCTGAAGCATTATGTCTCCTCTGTAACACCGATACTCTAACAAAGGCGAACACTATCAAAGAACAATCATTGCAAGGAAATGGAACATGTTCTGTATGCAATGTAACCATGCATCAGCACATTATCAAACGCATTAATCAGCTAGTACTTTTTTAGTTAAATTGTGATGCTTGCATTTTGCTTACCAGAATAAAAGACCTCAATAAAAAAATAAATATATATTTCTCTGGTTGTTGCGAATTTACATTAATCCTCAATAATAAAAATGATAGGGCTTCACTGTTACGGACCTGCGTGTCCCGCAATGACTCCAATTACATGGAGACCTGCGAGTCTCGCCAATGCTTATAAGCATTGATATAAGTTTTATGTTGAAAAATAAAGAAATTTACACAAAATAAATGATAGGGCTTGTCTTTGCAGAAACTAAACCTCCTTAAACCATGTTATTGCTTCTATCCTGTGTCCACTAAGTAAAACCCAAAGTCTGAAAGGACTAGAAATGATATCACAAGACCTCAACTGACACATTATAGCTCAACTCTATACAGTTCAGACCAGAAGGAAAATAATTGAGGGTCAAAAGGGTGAAGTTAAATTAATGCATATTTTCAGATCACACACGCCATGTCCACTATTTAATTGGTATAATTCGTATATGCATTTGATTTGGCAATTTTGTACCCCTTGATTATGTTCTCTTTTGATGCCAAATTTTATAATGGTTGTACCATAAGTAGCTCAGCATTACTGCAGAGGCATGGTGCTTAGAACGCCTTGAGTCCACTTTCATTACGTCACGTGGCATATAGTAGCACTGATTTGGGAGCAGGAATACCATCAGAACCTTTTGTTGCCCTTTACAAAACCAGTGGGTGCCATCATTCCTCCACCACATACTCTCAGGTGATCTCAGACACCCCTCCCTAGTATTGATTTCCAAGCACCAGGCATACACCAATAGGTACATACTTGCAGATACATAATGCCAAACACACACACTTGTCTGCATACTGACAGACATACATTTATACACAAAATACAGCTTTTTTTTGTGTGTGCCAGTGCCACCATGCAGGGGAGAAATTGAAGCAGTGAGTCTGGTGGGAGGCCTGCTCCATCAGCTATCTGCAATCTGGTTTGAGGAGATTTCTATATAATCTGTAGGGTTACAGAGCTCCATGCAGTCCCTGGTTCTTGGCAGTGCCACTTACCAGAGACTATTGGCTATACTTTTTTTTTAAAGTCAGCCTTGTTTTGGAGCATTATTCTTCTGTAATATTATTGAACTGTCAAAGTTAAAAAAAAAGTTATTAGCCAAGTGAGGGAATCCAGTTAGCTCAGTTGGTTAATGTACCAACTGTAGAACACTTCAGATTCTTAAGATTACAGGTTATGGTCCCACACGGTCAACCCCTCTGTATCCCTACATATCAGTGCCTCTTTTCAGGCAAAACAATTTTATTATAAGAACATAAAACTATTAAATTGAAACTGAGAATTAAAGATGCACATAAACATAAGATCAATTTAGAGAGAAAGGGGCCTAAAATATAATTTGCTATATTTTTCTCGGTTTTCTGGGTAGGGACACAGATCTCCCAGTAACAGGAATCCTAGCATTGCTGCTTCACAGCGTGTGACTTCCATACGCATAATATTTTCAGTCTACTTTAGCGATTAAAGTCTTTACCTGCTGAAGACAAGACCACCACGTTAGAGCAATGGTTAGACAGAGTAGGCGAGATCCAGGCAGCGGAAGCCTTGCAAGTATCCTTAACAGGACGGGAGGCAATCAACACGGAGCGGTGGCGACCGTGGTTTGAATACCTGGCGCAGGGAGACGCAGCGCTGGCGGGGGGAGCGGGGAGGGTCCCTCAGTGAGGGGTGAGCTACGCAGCCCACTTCTTCCCCACCAAGCTAACCCTCATCTACTTAAACTACCCTACATCTCAGCTACATGCTCATGTATACTCCACTCTTCCTCATACTCTTCGTGTTGTTTGGTCCCTCATCTGACATTGAGTACAATCTTGTACGGTAAAGCTACACCTCTGCCAGGTAATGAGACAACCACACATTCATCACCAACAGGACATATATACAGATACATAGCACATCACAGCCACTCTCACACACTTGATACACTGCTACTGCCCATACACGGGCTTCTCATTAACTGCCTCAGAACGATTGTCGCACCCTCACAGAGTTCTTGTAACGTGCGCTGTAGTAAAAACATACTTTTCCATCCTTCATCCCTCTCACTTTTCCCACCTCACCTATAATACCATCTTTCGAGGTACCACATAGCTCCACTTCCTGTGTATCATCAAATGCGTTATATCCACTTACTGTTACTCAGTCATGCGAAATTGTCTGTATTGCACTACATTTTATTTGCTGAGCCTTGCATGGCCACGTTAATTAGCTCAGAGACCTGCAAGTCTCATTCATACTGCAACATATGTTGACTTGAGTCATATCTGCATATATTATTCAATAAATCTTTTATTTCCATAAAGTCTGTACCTGAACTATTTTTACTAAATATAGAAAGGTAACATTATTTACTATTTATTCTCTACAGAAACCAAAACATTTTTCCTCACACCCTTATCTGATATCACATGTACCATGTTTTCATAAGGTGGAGTTTGATAGAAATGTTTCCAGGTCAGTACAGCCAGCAGACTGACAGTAACTGCATGTTGGAATAGTTAATTTGCATACAAGGCCTTCTAAAGTTACCAGTGTCCTACCGTTAACTAAAACATAGTATAACTTTTTTTTTTTTTTTTTAAATTAGCTGCTAGTTGTTTTTGTTTTGTTTTTGAAATAATAATGAAAACAAAAAATAGTCTGCTTTAGATAGCAGCCTGCCACATTTGTATTTGTGGTTATACAAAGTCTAATATCTAAACAAAGGATTAAGTAGGTGTACCTTTGCTGACTGTACTTTTAGCTAAACTTCCAGGATGTCTTGGGTTTTATAAACTGACTTTTATATAGCATACCTGGGAGAGAAAAGTTTCTCAAAACATTTTGTTGGGAAACAAAATAGAAAGATATTGATTTTATTAAAAAAAAAATAAATAAAAAAAAAAAAAAGCAAACAAGCAAACAAAAAAAACCTTTTTAAAATATTCTCTCTCTCTCTCGCTCATTTGTAAAGTGTTAAGCTATTGATAACTATTATAACGGAAATATAATTTAGAAAAAGGCGGGTGCATATTTACACAGACCGCTTTCTAGACACAGCAATTATAATAAAAAGGCACACTCTAAACTCCTAAAGCATTTTAGCTTGCTTAAATGATTTTTTTTTTTTTTGAAGAGCTTGTCCTCGTGTTTTCATTTAAAAAAAAAAAAGTGCAGATTTCAATAACATTCAATAACATTGGCACTTGAATAAATTCAATTTGTTCTCACCCCTGTCAATCAGTTCTTGTTACTTGCTGGTTAGTTTAGCTCAGTGGAACTAAATTCAAGAGGCAGTAATTGCCAAGAGCACCTACATTTCAAAGACTTCTCATTGAGCTGCATTAGGAAGTCTGTGATTGGATAGACACAGAAAGTCTGGGTGGGGTTAGAAGTGGAAGGTTTTCAAAGGCAGCAAACTTGAGAATCGCAGCTTTTGCAAACTGCTTTTAGATATAATGTGAAAGAAAAAAGTGAACTTAGTGGATCGTACTACCACCAAAAGATCACTCAGTGGAGCGCTAAATATCAAATTCTTACCCCTATTGGAATAACGTATATATCACTTTAAGGGGCAGACAACATAATAAAATCTACAACAAGAAAATACACATCATAGTGCAGTATGCTTGTAAGGTGTGAATGGAGTGGAAGAAGATGTATGTCCAACTCACATGGTAAAGAGCCTGGAGATTGGCTCAAATCACAACAGCTGAGGTATGTTTGGTAATACCAGACCTTCTCCAGATATACAGCTCACAACATATGTGGATAAAAAAGGACAAAAATCCTAGTGCAAGTATGTTTAAAATAAACAAGTGGTCACATATAACAGTGCATGAATGTGCTCACCTGGAATAGAGCCAATTGTACTAGGCTCTATGTATAAACGTGTGGTGCCTTTAAGGGAGGCACTACCCTTCTTTAGAAAATGCAGGAAGCAGTTGAAGATCCACTACCAGATGTATAAGGTAAAAGTAACAATTTTATAAAAAAAAAAAACAATTAAGCAAAGTAAAACTGATTGAGAAAGCCCCACGGCGAAAACGCGTCTCGGAACTTCAAGGAAGACCACCCCAGAGACTTTTACTTTTTGGTATCTGTATATACAGTTTTACTTTGCTTAATTGTTTTTTTTTTTTAATAAATTGTTACTTTTACCTTATACATCTGGTAGTGGATCTTCAACTGCTTCCTGCATTTTCTAAAGAAGGGTAGTGCCTCCCTTAAAGGCACCACACGTTTATACATAGAGCCTAGTACAATTGGCTCTATTCCAGGTGAGCACATTCATGCACTGTTATATATGACCACTTGTTTATTTTAAACATACTTGCACTAGGATTTTTGTCCTTTTTTATCCACATATGTTGTGAGCTGTATATCTGGAGAAGGTCTGGTATTACCAAACATACTTCAGCTGTTGTGATTTGAGCCAATCTCCAGGCTCTTTACCATGTGAGTTGGACATACATCTTCTTCCACTCCATTCACACCTTACAAGCATACTGCACTATGATGTGTATTTTCTTGTTGTAGATTTTATTATGTTGTCTGCCCCTTAAAGTGATATATACGTTATTCCAATAGGGGTAAGAATTTGATATTTAGCGCTCCACTGAGTGATCTTTTGGTGGTAGTACGATCCACTAAGTTCACTTTTTTCTTTCACATTGTGTTTGTGTAGGATTGGGATACCTGCATGCGTGTTTGAGCTGCTGTTCTATTTATATATTATTGTTAAGCGCCTAATTGCACAGAGCACCTTTTTCTTGTGCTTTTAGATATACCCCGCACAAAATGCAAAATTAGATGTAGGCTTGTCTTTATTTAGGAGTATGTCTACAAAAAGTGATTGACGTATTTTGGCAGTGGGTGTCCATTTTAAAGGTGGATTATCGTTTTATTGCTATAAAGCTCTGCCATATACTCTAAAAAAAAAAAAAAAAAATTAAAAAAAACTACAAATTTGGAAAAATACGAAAAAGGGGTCAAAGTGATCTGAGCCAATAATAATTCGTTGTGAAAGAATTCCAATTCCACACACATTGGATTTTTAATTTTTTACATCGAATTTAGTTCTGCAGTATCAAATACATTTTTAAATGTTTCATTTTTGTTGAGATGAAAAGGTTTCAGATTGACACTTTAACATACATTTTACGTTTCATACATATTGCATAAACAGAGAGTGTATAGTGATAAAATTTTTCAATGGCATTTTACATTACATCCTCGTGGCAATGGTACAGTGTTTTGTTTCAATCGACATTCATGCTTTTGTTATAGGTGGTGAGTAATGCCCTGATTTTGGTACCCGGTAGGCTGGGCATGCTTTCTGGCGTGTTATATTGCCTCTAAGTGGTGTCTCCCGGGCCTCCGGGGGTTAGCCTCCCACGTGTATCCTCCGCTCTTCTTCGGGGTGGATCAGATGGTTAGCAACCGGGTGTGTATCACCTTTTGTGTTTTATTTATTTGGTTTTGTGTCTTGTAGGCTGGAAACTGATTTCCCTGCTCATCATCTCATATTGTAAGGCTCGGTAAGCCCTTATTTTGTGTATGGGGGGGAGGGGTGAGATGCTCTCTTGCTTTAAGGCTAGGTGGGGCGTAGTTTGGGTTCCTGCCATTCACCCAGGCATCACCACTTAGACCATGTCCTGTTGTAGTGTTCTAGTGTACCACCTATTGTATGTGCCATCTGCTCGTACTGTTGGGTGAGGCTTACTTTGGCAAGTACTGCCTTTATGTCAGGTACTGTCGTGGTTTTCCACAAGGCGGCTATGCACGTTTTAGCTGCTAAAGTGATGTGGGTAGTCAGCGCTGCTTCATAGGCTGTAAGGTCTCGGGGTAGCATGTGGAGCGGATAGTGTTCAGGCTTGAGTGGTAATTGTTTTCCTAGTTTGGATTTAATTATGTCTTGGATTTGTTGCCAGTATTGGCTGGGTGCCGGGCAGTACCAGAATATGTGGCTCGTGTTTCCCACTTGTTGGCTGCAGCACCAACATCTATCCTGCACCCCTGGGTATATTTGGGCCAGCGTGTGTGGTGTGTAGTACCACTGCATCCACATCTTGTAGGCTGCTTCTACATGGTCTAAGCATTTGGTCGCCCGTTTAACCAATGTCATGGCCCCTATCCACTTCCCATGCTCGAGTTCGCAATTCAATTCTCTTTCCCATTTGAGCATGTATGATTGTTTGACCGGTCTGTCTATGTCTAGCAACCTATGGTAACACAGGGAGAGTGTTTTTTTTGGGGTGTTTTAGACCTTCGCATAGCAAGTCAAAGTGGTTTTGGGGTTGTGTTGGTGTCCTTTCCTTGCCGGTGGCCCCTAATATATGTTTTATGCGTAAATATGTGAATATTTCGCTGTTTGGTAGATGGTATTTGCTCTGGAGGTCCGGGAAGGCTCACAGCCCATTTGCTCCATAGAGGTGTGTTATTTGCGTTACCCCTCTGTCCACCCACTCGCCCAAGGCCAGGTCATGTGTGTGGTGCTGGAGACTTGTCAGTGGGGCAAAGGTCTCTATCCTTGCACTAAGCATTTTTGGGGCCCATCTCAACCATAGCTGCAGGGACAGCTTGGTTGTTGTGAGAGGGTTCGTGAGTTGAGGTTGGGCCTTGGCTGGGATCCAAACCAGGTCCCTGAGGGAGTAGGGCGCACAGACCGCACTTTCCAGTCGATGCCACAGTGGGCAGTTCGAGGTGGAGAGGAGGCGCGCCGTCTGAGATATGTTTGTTGCTAGGTGGTATTTGGTTATGTGTGGCACACCCACCCCGCCTCTTCCCATGGCTGTGCTAATATTTGCTAGTGAGATTCTGGGTGTTTTTTTTCCTCCATATGTATGCGTTGATGAGTCGCTGAAATGCTCGGAGGGTGTAGTTTGGTAAACTGATGGGTAGGGCCCTGAATAGAAATAATACTTGCGGTAGTATGATCATTTTTACGGCGTTGATGCGCCCCAACCAGGATGTGTGTTTGTTTTTGCTTCCCCAGCCCTCCAGCACCTGCTCTATTTTTGCTTTCAGACCCCCATGGTTATGTTTTATGAGGAGCTGTTTGGAGGGTGCTAGTTGTGTGCCTAGATAAGAAATTGTATCCTTCCTCCATTCAAAGGGATATAACGTTCGTAGGGTCGTGAGTTGGGATCTGGGCATGTTCAGTGGGAGTACCTGTGTTTTTGCTACATTGTTTTTGTAGTAAGAGACCTGGCCATATTCCCGTAGTAGGTCCAGGAGGGCCGGTATGGAGTCCGAAGGGTTTGTTAGGAAGAGAAGGATGTCGTCAGCAAACACTGCCATTTTTTGCGGGCCTATCGGGGAGGGGGGGCCTATAATGCTGGGGTTAGTCCTGATTTTATGGAGCAGGGGCTCCAGTGCCAGGATAAAAATGAGGGGGGATAGGGTCATCCCTGCCTTGTGCCATTTGATAGGGCGAATCTACCGGAGATGAAACCAGAGTTCATGACTGTGGCTTGGGGGGACGAGTAAAGGGATAAGAGCCCAGCTAGGAATTTTGTCGGGAAGTTGAACCTTCGAAGGACCTCTGTCATATAACCCCAGTGGAGTCTATCAAAGGCCTTCTCTGCGTCTAAGGCCATTATTAAGCCCTGTGACCGATCTCTAGTCATGAGTTCCATTACGTCAAGGGCTCATCTGGTGTTATCTTCCACTTGTCGCCCTGATTGTTCTGGGGATACTAATTGAGCTAATGTAGGGCGTATTCTGTTTGCAAGGGTCTTGGCGAACAATTTTGTGTCAGCGTTGAGGAGTGAGATTGGGCGGTAGTTTGCGCATGTATCAGTAGTTTTGCCTGGTTTAGGGAGCGTAATAATGGTGGCTTCCAACATTTCCAGGGGTATCTCACCCGACTCTAGGATGTGGTTGAATAAGGCCGTGAGGTGGGGGAGTAGCTGGTCCTCAAAAACCCTGTAGTAGTGGGTTAAGAAGCCGTCTGGGCCTGGGGCTTTGTGTCTGGGTGTGTCGTGTAGAGCCTTTGATACCTCAGATGCTACAATTGGGTTGGTCAGTGCAGCGGCCTGTTCGTTGGAAAGCCGAGGGGGGGGTCACCCCTTCTAGGAAGGTAGTAATATCTTGGGGACTGGGTTGGTGTTGGGTGGTGTCCCCAGATAGGTTGTATAGCCCTGCGTAAAATTGGGCAAATTTGTCTACTATTGCTTTGGGGTTTCTAATCTTGGTGCCCTTGTCGTCCTTGATATATGGGATCTTTGCCTGCGTGGTGCGTTCCCTGAGTTGGGAGGCTAATATTTTGCCCGCTCTATTACCCTGTCTATAGTAGTTGGTTTTCATTTTACGAATTGCCAGTTCTACTTGCTGCATCTGTAGTGCTTCTATGGTGGCCCTTATCTCCTGTACCTCCTGCCTGTTGGAGTGTGTGGGGGAGGCCTTGTGTCATGTTTCTGCTTGTTTTAAGTCGGTCAGTAGAGTCCTACTTTTTTCTGTCAGTTGGCGCTTCAGTTTTGCCCCTTGTCGTATTAGCAGACCGCGCGTTACTGCCTTATGGGCAAGCCATGTCATAGCGACGTTCGTGTCGGTGTAGTGGTTATCCACAAAATAGTGCGCCAAGGCGCTCCTTATCTCGGCCGCCCTGTCCACATTGTCTATCAGTGAGTCGTTTAGTCTCCACTGGCCCCGACCCCGGACCGGGTGGAGTGTGGTAAAGACTGATGTGAGGGGGGCATGGTCTGACCAAGTCAAGGGGGCAATTGATACCTTCTCCAGGGTATCTAGCGTTTTCCCATCCACTAAGCACATGTCTATCCGGGAGTATCGATCATGTACCTTGGAATAGAACATGTAGTCTTTAGATGCTGGGTATAGTGAACGCCATGTATCGTGTAGGCCGCGTGAGTTGAGGAGCGCTGTCATTTTCATCCCTAGTTGTGTGGATCGCAAGTGGGAGCAGGGTTTGCCGGTCCTATCTAGAGCAGGGTCCAGTACGCAGTTAAAGTCCCCACATATAAGCGTCTACCCTCTCTTCTTCTTATCTACTTGTTGTAAAGCTTTCCTAATGAAGTCATACTGGTTGGTGTTGGGGGCATATAGGTTGACTACTGTCACCTGGACGTCATTTAGTAGTCCTAATAGTATTAGAAGCCGGCCATCGGGGCTTTTGTATTCTGCTTCACATTTAAATTGCCAATCAGAGTGGAAGAGAATGCTAACACCTCGTGTCTTATTCGGTGCTGTGGCATGGTAGGCTTGTGGATAAGATGTGGACGAGAATTTTGGTGGATTTTTAATTAAGTGGGTTTCCTGTATGCATGCTACAGAAGCGTGTAGGGTGCGTAATTGGGAGAACGCCAGCCTGCTTTTTTGTGGGGTGTTCAGCCCATGGGCATTTAGAGACACTAGACGGAATTTATTGGCGAAGGTCATTTTAACTAGTTGGGGTGGCCCTAGGGCCCGGTTGTTTGGGTGTAGTATTTCCTATTGCCACTACATGACAGAGTTGGTGGGGTGAGGCTATTTTTTCCCCTCGTCGTACCCAGTAGTGAAAAGGGAGCATCTCGGGTAGGGGGTTAGGGCAGGGGGAACAACCTGAAACATAACCTAGGCAACAAAACCATAAAACAGAAATAAAGTATATACATTTCAAACAGCTATTAAGCATTATGTGGGGGACCCTGCTGCCGAGCTCGCACCCTCTACTGCACTGAGATGGGGTCACAGCAGCAGGCGGTGTCCCGCAAGTGTATCGGGGGGGCGTCTGATATTTGGTGAGGCCTGTACCTCTTTTTGAGCCCAGCTCACTCGAAGAGGTAGGTGGCATTGGCTGTTTTGCATAAGTCCATGAGTGGAGGGGTGGGGGGTGAGTACATCCTCTGCGCCCTGCAGTTTTTCGGCCTTTTGTCCGGCCTTGCTGGGTTTAGATTTTAGTGGACAGTCTCTGCCAGGTTCTGAGCAGCGAGTCTGACTGCTTAGGGGTAGGTCTCGCAGTGACAGGGTGGTCCAAGTTGCGCTGTGGTGTGGCAGAGTCATTTTTTCTTTTGTGCTGGGTTTTGGGGGGGAGGGGGTGAGGGCGAGTAAGAGTACTCCCGTGGGTGCTGAATGTCCTTCATGCTATGCCATTCCCAGATGATTGGGGCGGTCACCATGGGGGGTCTCACGGATCTTTAACAGAGTGGCTGAGTCGTGCTGTAGCCGGCACCCCCTTCTGGGTGGCGGTAGTGTCCTTTAGGCTTTGGACCAATCCGCGGTCACCTTCTTTAGGGAGGCTTGGGTGTTTGATGCTTTGCTGTCTGGGAACAAGCCCCAGGTCTTGAGCTTGTCCATTCCCAGCGCCGGATCTTCAATCTTTATTAGAGAGCCATTCCGCCAGATAAGGAGTTTTGTAGGAAATCCCCACCTGTACGGTATTTTTTTGTTTCTGAGGCATTTCGTAATGTTAATGAATTCCCTTCTCCTGGCCATTGTCGTCGGTGAGAGGTAGGTGAAGAGGGAGATATTTTCATAGGTTGGCGGCATCGCTGAGGCCTTCCTTTGCGCCGCAAGTATGGCTTCCTTCGCCGAGTAGTAGTGCAATCTGGTCACAATGTCTCTTGGCACTTCTTGTGCAAGGTTTTGAGGTTTTGGCACTCGGTGTGCCCGATCCAGGCGGAGGTCCGCCAGCTCTAGGCTTGGTTGGATCGCTTGGAAGAGTCGCAGTAGGTAGGCCGGCAGCTCTTCTTGTGTCACTGTTTCTGGTACCCCGCGCACGCGGATATTATTGCGGCGGGAGCGATCTTCCAGATCTGCCAGTTTTTCCATAAGGCGTTTATCAGCGTCCATCCTTTGTATCTTCTCCACTATGGTGTCATTCATGTGGGAAAGCTCATCAGTTTTTTCTTCTAGTGCATTCACCCGTGTCCCCACTTCGTGGATGTCTTTGCGCATGTCAGAGACCGCAGCTTGGAAGTCAGTCTTCATAGAGGTGCGTAGGTCCTGCAGCATTGCCGCCAGGCGCTTTTCCTACACAGATCATCAGCGGTTACTTGCCTCGAATCTGTGTCTAATCCTGCGTCTCAGGTGTGAGTGGGTGAGCGGGAGCCGCCGCCATCTTGTTCCATGCGCTGCTTCCCTCCCTTACCCTGCCGGAAGAAGTCCGATGCCCTTTGAGACTTTGGGGGTGCCATCTCTTGGGTAGGAGGTTCCCCTGCTGTTGGGCACCTTGGTAGGGTAATTTCGGGCTTTTTTGCCGCTTTTTAGGCCTTACCGATCGCGGAGCTGCAGTTACATGCGACCGCTCCGTCCTACCGGAAGTCCCGCCCTCCTCAAATACATTTTTAGCAATCTTTTTCAACTTCCCCTTTATTTATTGCTGGGAAAAATACAAAGAACTAGATAAAAATTTAGCAATTAGTTGGGAAGTGGATACTCTTTGCAAACTTGTATATAATATATACTAGGTGCGTGGGCAATTGAATGTATATATATTTTTAAAAAATACAAGTCACGTCTATTTAACACCACAATAGCTCTTCTTTTTAATTTTTTTTTAATTTGATTTGATACAAGCATTATAGTGTTTGTCGTTAAACAGCAGGAAGTTTAACCTTTTTGCCTTCCAGGTAAAGGCTTTAACTCCAGCAAGCACTAAACTTGTCCATGTCCTCTCACATGTTCATTGATAAAAACCCAGTATCTCCAATCTAAAATATTATACATAACTGCATATTAAATATCTATTTTCTGGGGGGAGAATGTTGAAACATTAATTCAGAAAAACGCATGCAGCATGTTTTGAGGGGAGAGATGCAGGCATATCTTGCTTTTAAAATGCTTTTCATGACCCCTCATCTCACTAGCTGAGTCACAGAAATCTAAAACCATTTGAATGTCAGTTGGGTGTGCGACTAGGGTTACCATATGGAAAAGAAGGGTATGTGTAGATCATACAACTATCAGAACTCTTCAGCACTCCATGTATTAATGCATGAATATATTTTAGTTTAAAAATCTAGTAACCCACTCTATAATGCTATGCATATATTTTGTATATGACCGTTTCGGATTCCAAAGAGAAAGTATATAAAGCTGTAGAGTTACGTCCTTGGTCTAACATTAAGTGTAACACGTATGATATAATTAAAATAACAGGGAGTGTGAAGATTCAAAGAGTATCTGTCCCTCTCATTTAAATAACCTTGCTGAAGTCCGTAAATCATACAGTTCTTAGTTATCTTTTATTAACAATTTGTTAATGTTATTAATATAAGCAATATGTAGATAAAATATATTTTTAATGTAATCATTACAGAGAGTAAGGTAAAGCTCTTCTTTAAATGAACCAAAAAATGCTTCCGACGTTTAAAACGTAAAGGAACATTCTAAGCACTTCATGTCATTGAAGATGTTATAACATCTATAGTCCCCAGGTGTTGTCCTTCCATTCACAGTTGAACCATTTTTAATATTTGAATGCTTAACGAGTGTATCTAGCAGCCCATCTGCTGTGTGCTGATTGGACTAATAAGGAAGCCTTACCCTGAGCAGCAGTAGATTGCTGTGATTGGCTGAGAGTGTCATAGCTTTCAGGCAATCACATCATGGCTAGAACGAAGTGTGTAATCTGCTTTAGCCATACCACTTGTATGGCCAGGGACATTTAAAAAAACAAAACAAAACAAAAAAAACATTTGTTAAACTGCTCGACAAAGGTTTGATACTTTTCTGATGGACTTCACTCACTATAATTAATTACTAATTCAAAGAGATAAAATGGTTATAGTGCTTACAGTATCCCTTTAACCCATTAGCCATATTTTTTAAAAAAACACTACAAGCATACAGAAAGAAGATATGATGCATTAACATACACTGAGTGTGCACATTTGTGTTCACTATACAGTCTCTATGATTATAGATTTGGAGGCCTGGCAGAGAGTCTTACCATAGAAAGCTGATTGACAGACACGATCATATTGCCCTTAAACTCCATATTATGGCACGGAACTGTAAATAATAAACTGTGCTTCGATAAGTATATGAAATGTTAATCTTTTCTTTACTATAGTAATCACAGATACGATAAGATGTTAAATCCATTCTTTCAGACATTTCTAAATTTTAAATTTTTCTCACTTTTAACATGGTATGCTCTAGTTTGGGCATAATTTCTTACTGCTTTAAGGGTAATTCAGACGCATACCCCTTTCTCATGGTACTAGAGTAGTATCGGCTGACAAGACCTAACAAAGATCGTCTGGGGTTGCTGTATCTCTCGTACACAGAGAGCCAGCCTGCATTTTGGAGCTGGCCGTTTGGGTAGGATCAGCCAGTTTTGCAAATTGCCTAGCTTCTCTTTGCTCACAAGATGAGCTAAAACCAGCTTGACGTCTGAGCGGGGACCCACCAAAGGGCAAGCTACTTGAGATGTTGTCCATTCTCAGTATTCTCTTTCACGTTATTTTTTTGCTAATTTTTTTCTGATGCTGCAAATACAGGTACCAAGCACCATGACCTTTTCAAATTACTGAAGTGATGATGGTGGTTGGAGTGACCCTTTTATGTATGTCAACAGCCAACAATTCTAACTGCCAAATTTACATCATGTAATTCCACACCTAGCTGTCATAATGATTAGGTGGGATTTTTATTATTGCTTATTGTTCACATTTCGTTTAACATTCACAAGACAGGTGTATTAGAAGTTGTCAGCCTCCAAACCCAGGAAGCTCCAGCAGGTAAAGCAGAGTCTTGTAGTTGCTTTAGACTTGTTGGTTAAAGTCATATTAAATAATTTAAGTCTGCCATATATCTTTGAAAGGCCGACCATCGTGCTAGTATGTATTTCCTTCTGTCAACATTTATCGTTCGTTCTGTGTGTGTGTGTGTGTGTGTATGTATATGTGTGAATATATCAATTGCCTTCCTACCAATGCATGTGACTTAAAAATCTGTTTCTACTTTTACAGATCACCGAAGAGTGTACATATTTAAAGACTTATTTACTAATACAAAAGAGACCCCCCCAACCCTTGAAAAGGGGTAAAGGGGGGTCACCAGGCTGGTAAAAATGGTTTCGTTGAATTGCAGTGAACCGTTGCCGGCTCCAGATCTTCTATCAAATGCTGCTTCCCCCTGTGGACAGAATCGGACTACACAGCAGTGGGGTGAGGTTATACTTCCCACCCTTCTAAAGAATGATTACAACCTTTCTTCCTTATCCATGGAAGATCAAGAAAATAACACTACTACCTCTGGGAAGCAGGAGGAAATGGCGATGCCAGGAGAGGTGGAAGGAATTGTTTTGTCCCAGCTAGTCAGGTCTGTGGAGGATCCTAAGGAAAACACTCAGATGGCACAATTAAAAATTCCTGATTTTTGTGCCCAGTTTTCCCCAGACTTTTCTCCAACACTGGAGGAAATTGAAGAGTTTTTGAAGGACAATATGGACCTTCTCCGAGAGGAACTTGGTGAGCGAACTCCTGTTAGTAGTGGGAAACTTCAGAGTTCCAAGTCAGACGAGCAGTTGTCACCAATTTCTCTAACTCCACCAAGTGAGGATGTTCCAGCACATGTAACATCAGATGCTTCTGTGACTTCACCCTCTCCAGAGAGCAGTATTCCAGTCATCCTTCAGATCCAGCCAGTGCCTGTACCTGGTGTCCCTTCCATTCCCCAGAGTTCAACTGGTAGTATGCGGGTGGCACAG